CCCCCAAAAAAAATTTTTTTGGGATAAAAAAAAAATTTTTTCGAAAACGGTGGGGGGGGGGGGGGGGGGTGGCAGGAAGCTATCCTGTACAAGCAATTGCCTGCCAGTCGCAACTCCCGCTCGGACAGTGTTCCTAGTTGACACGGAACCGTCAACGCCGGGTGTTGGTTCATGGGGGCTGAGAACACAGCCCTGTCTGATTGGGCTTGGTCTAGTTCTCCTTGTCCGTCGTTCATCTTTACGACGCTTTTGGACGAGTTGCGCAAACAAATGCCTGACGATGAAGACTAACGGCAGGGCAGGACAGCAGGATCTCAACAACTGCATCGGTGCTTCGGACAAAAGACCTGGCAGCGAGATGACCAAGCAGCAAAGACAAACGGGCAAACGTCAAGACAGGGGCAAACGAGACAAGAAACGAAGCTCATCTTGTTGGTGCGTCGTCACCGCCGGCACCGCCGTACAATGTACTTAACGCAATCTGGTCCATCTGCCTTTTCACTGTTACACATGGACACATAGAAAGAATGCCCTCAAATGTCCTCGTTTGCTTCTCCACCATTCTGTTTCTTCGATTCAACATCGCGGCTCCAGCCTGCCTTGAGTCGCCGACCCCGCCGCACCACACCGCAATTTGGTTAGTACATGTACATCATTTACTGCCTTACGCCTTGTAAGGAACTGTCTCGTCTCGTCTCGTCCATCGGTGATGGTGTGGTGTCAGTGTTTCCTTTTCGGATGCCGGTTCTCGCTGATGCAGCTCGATCCGTTCTACATGTATTTTGTGCCTCATCTTTACCTTGCCTGCCCGGATTTCTTGGCTGCTTGGTTATCGAAGTTTCGAAGCCTATAGGGAACAAAATAGACTTTGCGCCGTCGCTCCAGATTGATCACCTGGAATCCTCCCCCCGTCCTTGATCGTAAGGCCAGTATCCTCCCCCCTCCCCAAAAGACTGGCCCCCATACTCGTTTTGCCAGAGCCAATGCGTTACCGGGATCACGTCAAGGCACCCCCGCGTTGACAACTGTCTTGCCTGCCCTGAGGCCTGTTCCCTTTCTGGGATGCAGAGAAGCCCACCTTGTGCAGAAGGCCGTTACAGTGGCACCTCCTCACCAGGCATGTCCAGTCGGCATCTTTTGTGTGTGTGTGTGTGTGTGTGTGTGTGTGTGTGTACACCGTTACATAACGTTGCTCATGCTCTCCCTTGTGGTGGGTTTGCAGCCCATGCATGCTGTCTACCAATCGCCCACGTCTCGTCCACGTCTCGGACCATAAACAGAGAGCCTCAGCTTGATAAGTCTGTCGGCGGGTAGCAAACGGAACGGCACCTTGCAGCTCTCGGTTTCTGGCGGACCTGCGGGGGTTAGGCCGCCTGACGATGCGTCAAGAGGTCCGGGCTCATCAACGCCATTCTGCAGGCGAAGCCCTCCTTCCACCTCTTTGGTCCCCTCTAACGTCACTGAGACCCCTGGGCTCTTGGCCTCCGCTGGCCTTGTTGACGTTCTTGACGGAAGCTTCTCACGCGCAAGCCCTCTAGCATAGCTTTCTCCGTTGTCGGTGAAAAGGGGGGGGGGGGGGGGGGGGGTTGTCACCTTCTTCACAACAAGCGGCCCGTGGTTTACCGCCTCACCCCAGCTCCTCCCCCCTCTTGGCCTCATCATTTCCCCGTCCAAGTTTGCGTGTCACCAGTGCGCACTCAGA